GATAAAATTATAAGGGTATAATTAATTTTTAAAGAATAGTTTAGAGTAAAATAAAATATTCTTTATTTAAAACAAGGTGATTATATGGTTTTATTACTTGTCAAAAGAACTAGTAAAAATGGAAAAATAATTAGAATAGAACAAGAACTAATAACAATTAAGGGCAAGGCCACGCATGTGGGATGACGAGGGAATAAATTGGTCCATGGGTTAGCTAGATTTGCTTGACGGAATGGCAAGGATAAAATTTTCAATTTTGATTTAAGCTTATTTTGAGAAGATAGTTAAAAATTAATTTTTTAATTTTTTTAAAAAGACTTATAAAAAATATAAAAAGCGATATGAGTTAGGGATTGTTTGACATGTTCTAAATAAGTGTATTTTTTGACTTTTTATAAAATATGAATTGAATTTAAAGTGATGTGGTAAAGAAATGATGTGATTTAAATAGGATAGTAATTTTTTGATTTTTTAACTTTTTTTTAAAAAAATTGACAAACAAGACCTTAAAATAAATTAAAAATGGACTTTCAACTTTTTTTTTATCTCTTTCCAAAGTTTTTAATGTCCAATATTTGTCCTTTACATAAAGTACAACACACATGTAAAGAGTACATTACCATTAATTAACAATTAATTAACACCTTTGACTTAATGATTGTGTAATCATTATTTTGTGGCACAACATTGGGTTTATATAAAAAAATGTTTTGAAACTTTAATTTGTGTGTTTTAATAGCTTTAATGTATATGTAAGACCTATTTAATATGATATTTTGATTTTATTATTTTTTATTTTTTGACCTTGCACCTCACTAGAGTTCAATTAAACTCTAATTTTAAAAAAATTGTACCATTGTTGGTTTATATATTATGGACAGACTTTGTACTCCTTGTATTGCCCCTTTTTCTTGTTAACATTTTGACTAATGTATACTGTGGGATTGAAAAAAAAAATCCCTCATAATTACTAATATCTTCTCCCATATTGTGGGAAACTATAGACTTCCTACAATGTCAAAGATGATTCATATTAAATTATGACATGTTTTGATAATTAATTAGGGTAGAAATTTGCGGATGTAAAATAAAAAGAAAAGGAAATATGAAGTCAAATTAATTTACATTTTCTTCACATTTATTTATTTATTTATTTTTTCCTATGCAAATTTCAATCCAAATTTAAAATTTAATGAAAGAAAATATTCTCTAAAGCATAAAATATTTGGTTGCTTCCATCACCCCCACCACCACACCACTACCACCACTGCCGTTGCTTCCGACACCTCCACTGCCACCACACCACAAGCACCACTCCAACCCCCCCATACCACCGCCACCGCCTTCATCCCATCACTTCCACCAGCACCGTATCATGTCATTACCGTTGCCACCACCCCGCCACCACTAATGCAACTATTACTATATTATTTTCGAGAACACAACCAAATATAAGAAAACGTTTTCTATGAAAAATATTTTTTGAAAAAAAATTTCTTTAAAAAATATTTTCTAGTAAAACAAATAGAGCATTAGTTTAGCGTTATCAACATACCATTATTGAGTATTGACCATCTTACAATTTCAAAAAAAAAAAAAAAAAAACTATTCTACTAGATGGGGCTTTGATTAGTCAAATGATTTAAAATCATGTTAATTTTTCTTCTAAAAGTTGCTTAGTTTAGTCACTCTCACGTTCTTTGCTATCTTAAATTTCCAACATTTTTCCTATTAGAAACCAATAACAAATAAAATATCTCATAGCCGTTGTGCAACAAATATTGATTTGTTCTATCCATGATAGGGACAAGTTTCTTCTTCTTGTTATAATTTTCATTTTGTCCTCAATCATGGCAGTTGATCAAGCAAAAATTGAAGTCCCTAATAAGAAAAGCTTTGTTAAAAATTTACCCGTTTGTGCATGATTTAGATTCAATTCTCTATAGTGGGATTTACACTTGAAATGTATCTCAACTATTCAATACTTTTTTTGAGTAAATTTTTTGGGTACCTAACGTTGCTACATCATTAAATGCTTGAGGGAGAGTTTGCTTACTGAAATAAAGGTAAAACCAAATGGAAGGTTATTTTTTAGCTTTACAATGAAATTACCATTATCTTACAACGAACGAATAATGGTTTCATACGCAATATATTGTTTTCATTTAAATGGCTAACACTCTTCTATGTATATGATATTCCCATGAATATATAAATATGAGAATCATATTTCAAATTTGTTTTTAATCATACCTCGAGTCAAAACAAATAATTAGAAATCACTTTCTTATTGCATGTTTTAATTCATTTCCATTTAAACTATGTTTGAATCATAAATTTAAAGACGGAAAAGAATAAATGAAATAATTTGTACATTGAATTGTTGTCGCTTGAAATCGTTCGAATTTGTTGATGTTGGTGGTCTGGTCGGATGACTGGCTTCACTCTCGTCTACCGCGGTCATCACTCTCGTATACCGCAGTAGTTATCATGTTATCCGAACGACCGGCCAGACAACCAATATCAATATATCGGGCAAAATCAAATTCGGTGGATGTAACATTGCTCAAGAAATAATATACGAGAGAAATAAATGAAATATAAACTCTCCATTTTTTTTTTCTCTCTCTTTTTCTTTTTACTTTCTAAATTCTTACTTGTGTTTAGATCATGTTAGAAATTTGGTACAGGAAAGGAAAGTACGAGGAAATTAAGAAAAAAAAAAAGACTTGTAATTCATTTACATTTAACTCACTTCACATTTTTCTTACTCTTTTCAAATATATACTCAAATTCAAAATCACAATATAAAATTCCTATCATTCAGACTTATCTTTAAAAAGTTATCACTGAGTAGAGGAGAGGTGTATTGTGTAGAAACAACTCCTAGCAAAATTTTTTAACCAAAAAAAAAAAATCCTAGGAATCGCGGACATTTCCCAACAATATATCTTATCTATCTATCTCTATATATGAGTATTGGACTTAGTGTAATGTTTGGTGACTTTTCCTGCTATCATGTAACATTGTTGTGCGTATATGAGCATTGGAGTTAGTGTAGTCTTTAGTGACTTCATCTTCTATCACGTGATAAATTTTTATATCTTAAAATAAAAAATTATTATTCAAAAGTCTGAGTAATGCTTGAAACCAAGATTTTGAATTTTATTAAACACACTTTAAAACTTAGACAATATATATATATATATATCTATATATATATATAAATTAAACACATTGCGCATGTGAATGGCTAATATGAATAACATAAAATACGTAGATTTATGTATGGTAATTTTATAAAATTTTCCATATAATTTGTAGTGATCAAGAAACCAAACGAGTCAACACGGAAAACAATAATAAAAGCAAAGCAGAGAGGAGGCAGCCGAGCCAACAGGAAGCTTTGAAACTTCCTCTTCATTTCCAAACAAAAAGAATGAAATAATGAACAAAGAAAAATAAAATAAAATGAAGAACCAAAAACCAGTTTACATAACCACAGAGTGGTTGGATTAGTGGGTGACAATTGGGGTATGGAGGTTTGATCCTCCCAGGTCTCAAGTTCAAATCCCCTAGTCAGCAAATGCATATCTTAGGACTACAAATCGCAGGGCATAAGCCCTATTTTGGAAAGCATGTTTGGGTTGTAGGGGAGTTACTCTGGTGTCTATGAATTGACTCAGGATACCCTACATTAAAAAAAAAAGAAAAAAAAGAAAAAGTTTACACTACATATATACATACATATAATCAGCAGGACAAAGCAAAGCACCCAAGCAGGCAGGCAGAGAGAGAGAGAGATGGGGAGAATGCAAGTGGTGGATGTGAGGGAAAAGATGATAAGAAAAGGAGGAGGATGTCCATACTGTGGAGGATGAGTGATGGCTATGGACTTTGATGCCCATTTGGTAGCGTTTTGTGTCCCATTCCCACAAAAGACCAAGCATAAATTCTATTGCTCCATTTGCTCCACTCGATTATTTCGCTCCTCAGCCGCCCCATGATCTCATCAATCTCCATTTCTCCCATTACAATACAATATGTATATACACATCAAAAATCACTTCTCTTCTCTTATCTATATTATGTATTCTACAGTCTCAATCTGAGCTGTATAATATTCATGCTGGTATGCTAATCATCATTTGTGTAATAAAAACACCTGAGATTTCAGGGACAAATAGAAAGAGCTTGTTATATATCACATAGTTTCTTCCCACATAAAATGATAAATCTCAATATTTTAATATGATGAATCCTACAACGTAACCTTTTTAAAAAATACATAAATAAATATATAAATAATGAAAAAAGTTCAGCAACAAACAAAAAAATTCTAAATGCAGGTAGGATGGTTACCCAAGAGCACTTCTCAGATCAAAATGTTGCAGCATGCTGGTGTAGCCACTAGTCACCTCTTAACCAGGCATAGAAATTGAGCCAAAATGAGAAACATACAAATTGAGCAAACAAGTTCAATTCACCTTCAAAACTGCTTAGTTCATTTACTGCAATTAAGTTGCTATGATGCAAATATCAGATCTAGATTTAAAGTTGCAAGATTAAAGGAAAAAAACGAGGTATTTCTATGTTCCTTGATTAGGTAAGACAACATAGTCAACAAAGACTTCCATTATCAACAACATCAACATCAATAGAAAATTTGCAAAACACCCATGCACAAATCAACAAGGTTCCATTCTCCCGAGGGAAAAACGCAACATACATAAAACAACTCTACGACACATGAAAAATTACCGCTGCCAAAACTCAGAAGAAGAAAAAACATAGCCGGTTCACTTATTGAAAACTAGAAGCAGCATGAATGACAATTCCTAAGTGACAGGCAAAGGCTAAACGATGATTTCATATCTTTTTTGGGCACTTATTCCTGGTCCCTGTCAAAGGTTCTTGGATGGTGAAGAGGGGTAGCGAGTAATGATACATACAAAGACCACTAAGTACAGCAACAATACCATAAAGAACATAGAACAATGGATAAAAAACCACAAAAACAAATTGATATAGCTCCCAAAATTTAAGTAAAATAAAATTGTAAAACACCATTGTCAAAACTAGTGATTCAATAAACAAATACTCTCCCGACTTTAAAAAGAAAGAAACCTGAATTAAGATTCTTCCTATTGCCACTAAGAAGCAAAAAGAAACAACCAAACTTCAAAACAGGCAGGTAACACCGAAATCTAGTTCATTCTCCTGATGAGCTCATTGATGTAGTCTTCACGGTTTCCGGCATCACCCCCTTCAACATAATGGTTCCTCTTCTTCTTTAGGCCACCCAATGGTGCCTTTAGTTTGAATGGCCAAAGGAAGTTATTGGCCTTCTTAAAGTTGGGCCCAACAGTCAAGATCTCATGGATAAGATCTTCAATGCAGATAATTCCATATTTTCCCAAACCCTGCCATATCCATGTCATGTTAAATAAGATATATGGTATAGCTACTAGGCACTAGAACCAAAGACAATGCATACACACACACACACACACAAACACAAACCTGCTCAATGATTGAATTGTCAGTCAAAGCAATCCGCTGTGTATTTAGCTTGCCATAACCCCTCTTGTAAATCAACTCCCTCACACTCTTCAAATTGGGGTATCTGAAAACAAGTATATACTAATAAATTTGACATAACAGATTCATGAAATTTAGAATTTCACAGAACTAAAAGTAGATGAGATACATACCCGTAAGTCACATAAGGCTCAACCCTATGCAGCATGTTCACTGTTGCTTTGTTTACTTTAAGGAAGACACCATTGAAAATCTGTGTTGCAAGAATTTACATTTAGGAGGGCACAGAGAGAGGGAGAGAGGAGAATGTTTAACTTGTAAAATTACAGCTTTTAACCCAAACGATTGAATACAAATATATTACTTCCTTGATTATGCACTTCTCAGTGCTCATTCTTCAACTATAAAGGCTGTTTCAGTAGATCAACAGCACATTCAACCTATAGTACTGCAGAAACCTAAGGGCCTATTGCAAAACTTCTATTTCTGTTTTCAAATATTTTGCAAATAAGTTTGGAACTGTTTTCATTTACAAAATTGGCAATAGTTTCCAAAATATTAAAATTTGAGTAGTGAAAAAACAAGTATTTTCACATGTTTCAAAATAAGTTTTTCAGCAAAACCCTAATTGTGGGCTGATGCTAAAACCATGACAAGGAGAACTCAAAGGTATTGATAAGTTACCTGTCTCAAACGCAAGAGCTGCAATATCTTTCTTGTCTTTGGGTGCATAGCATTGATACTGAAAGTTCCAAATGCCAATACATATGAGATACATAGCACTATCACTGACAATACCATTCACTTATAACTACAAACAACATCGACACATACCCTCGGATACGAACAATGAACAAAAGCTTAGCTTCAGGATTCACATAAAAACCTCCTTTCAGTCGTGCCTCCCGCTTCAACTGAACGAGCTGCCTTTGCTGCATGACAAATGAAAATTTCATTTCAGCAATTAGATACCTGTTGTTGTAAAATATATACATATATATATATATACACACACAAATAAAAGAAATAAAAAAAGAAAGTTCAGCAAATGGACTACTTGCTCCTCATACTCCTCGGAGTATTGCTTGGCCCTGTTACAAATCAGCTTCCGGTTCTCGGCATTCTTTTTCTTCAGAGCTGCAAGGTCTTCCTGCTTCTTTAAAGCCCATTCCTCATTCCTCTTTTGTTTCTTCAATACAGACTCTGGAACCACAGGTCCTCGCTTGGCTTGGGCTTCAGCCATCCCTCTACAAACAACATTACCAAATATAAAACCAAAAACCACACCAAAACATCTCAATCATCATAACGTACAACAAACTGGACCCATAATTAAACCATAGAGATGATTATCATCCACTAATCTGCAATAAATATGATAACTATCACTCTGTTTGGTTTGGTTTTTAGTTTAATAAAAATAAATACCAAGAAGATATTTTCGCCAAAAAAACAAAATCATATGAAAATGATGAGTGTTTTGAGTTTTTCTAACCAAACTAATTATTGGGTTTTTTTGAAGATCATTCAGAAAACAGTTTTTAAAAAAGAAACCAACCAGAGTGATAGGGGCTTTGCAATGGTGTTAAACCCTAGTTTTTCACCAAAGGGGCATCCATAAACAGATCCAAGTTTCCTGCACGTTTCCTTTCTAAAACAGTATACGATCAACCTCGCAATTCTACATAATTTTATTTTCAAGTAAAAGAGAAAGAAAAACCTAAAAACATAAGGACTAAAAGTTTCTTCTACATTAATTTCTACATTTTCTCAGCAACCAAACAAACGTATAGTAAATTGAAACCCCATTTCATTGCAACTCTCTACATTAAAACAAACGACACCAAATATATCAAATCAATATACAAAAAACAAACATTGCTTAACCATATGATTCAACTCATTATATGATTTGTGCAGATATGAACAACAAAACATGAATTCAAAAGAACAAACAAAAGCAAAGATTTTTCTCTGAAAATCGAAATGAAAATCCGAAAGTACTCACTCTGAGCTCTGATCTGATGAGATCGAATTCGCAACACCAGAAGGAGGGCTTAGGAAGGTAGACAAGTTGTGTCAAATTAGGGTTTTGCTTTAGGGTTGAGTCATCCAACGACTTGGATTTATCTTTGTACGGGAGTGAATCCTGACCGTCGATAACAGGGATTTAGGGCTTTGTACATCGGACGAAGTCTTCGTCCAGGGCATGATTTTTTGGCCCAAAACTCTCTTTTCAGGCCCAACATAGGGGGTGTTTGGGAAGAAAAAAAATAGCCTAGTTTAGGCTAAAAATCATAAAAAGATAAAATAGGCTAAAATAGTTAATAAGACAAAATATCACATCAAACCCATAATCATTTCACTTTTTCTCTCACAAACATCACATCCAACCACAAAAAAATCCAATCATCTTCCCAAATACAAAAATTTTAACCTACTAAAATAACCAAAAACTAAAATAGCCTACTAAAATAGCCACTTCCTAAACGAGTCCATAGTTCTTTTTGGGCTTATTTCCCGCAGGTCCTACGTTTGAGACTTCTTAAGTCTTATTGATAAATTTAGGCCAAGTTTGGCATCCTCCAAAAAATCTAAAAAGTCAAAAAGTCACTATCCTATTTAAGTCACATCATCTTATTTAAGTCGCATCACCTCTCTAACACATCACTTCAAATCCAACCCAAATCCAACCCATATTTCATAAAAAGTCAAAAAGTGCACTTATTTAGTCTTCCCAAACTTGGCCTTATTAATTTATCTTATTTTTATATGTAAATAAGGCCAAGTTTGGGAAGACTAAATAAGTGCACTTTTTGATTTTTTTTGTATTATGTGTAGAAAAAATAGAGAGAAGATGTTGATTGATGTGACCCAAAAAAGATAAAAAGATAAAATAAGTGCACTTTTTTAGGTTAGCCAAACTTGGCCTAAGTCTAATTAGTAAGACTGATTGATAAGTGTCTTTTTTTTTTATATAGTTTTTTTTTTGTTTTTAATATTTTGTTGTTTTAATTTTTTTAAAAATAAATTATATTAACAGTCTCTATTGTTTGAAACATGTGCATTTTAATCTCCGACCTTTTAATTGTGATACATTTGATCTTGAATTTTAAATTTCGTTCTAAATAAGGAGAACTGAAGATACCATTTTTTCATTTCAAGGGCAAAGTCGTCAAATTAATAAAATATAAACTAGTTTAATAAAAATAAATGTCAAAAAACTATTTCTACTCACAAAAGATAAAATTATATAAAAATAATAAATCTTTTACATTTTTATTTTTTATTTTTTTTATCAAATTAATTTTTAGTATATATTTGAATAATGAACATATAATGAGTAGCTGTTTTTGAATAGTTATTATATAATAGATGGTTGTATTTATTATTAACAAATATTTTTAGATGGTTATGTAATGTAATGTAATAAATAGTGTGGGAGCCAAAAAAATATATATATCAGTTTATTAGGCTAACCCAAATAAGGCCTACCAAGGGGGCCAACTGTTGGGTTTATTCGGCCCCTCCCCATCTATAAAAGAAAGGCACCTTACGGAATGTAAATGGATCTCTCCCTCTCTCTCTCTGCTCCACACAGCATACAAACACTCTTTACAATTCTTGATTCTTCATTCATGGATTCTAACTTCATCATCGGAGTGTCCCTGGCGGGTAACCCCGGTTGGGTAGCATCAACCACATTTATCTCTTGCAGATTCATGGAACTATCTTCGTTGAATCTCACTAACAATCCATGTGAGAGGATATTTCATAGTTTCACAATTGGCGTCGTCTGTGGGAATGAGTGAACGAGATCAACGAAAAACACAACGAACTATTTATTGTCAGTAAACATGTACTGGTTGAATTGAGGTTAATGCATTTTCTACAAAATGATAATCAACTTCAAGTAATATGGCCCACAACTGGGTCTCTTATTTTCATTCTGATTCAACTTGAATTGAGGTTAGTGTACTTGTTTTTTGAATCTTACTTTTTGCCTACCACACCCAACAAAAACAGATACACTGGCAAAAAGACAGACCTTAAGACTCAGACGTCACCAGTTGAGCGCTCGATGATATTGCATATCGTGCTCATCCAGAAGTTTCAGAGTCCCGGCTGCAAGCCTTGCCTCCGGACTTCCGGACTCTTTCGTGTCTTGCCTCGGTTTGCGAACCAGGCTCTGTTTTCTCTGTTTTCTCTTCCCGAAGGAATGGAGAGGTCTCGTGGACCACCTCTCAGTGGCCGTAGGCTACGTTTCGTGGTCGTAGGCCATTTTTCCTGTTTGGAGCCCGGTTTTCAGTTTTTCGGAGCCGACGGCTGTGTGCCTCGGTTCGGGACCACCTAACCACCTCCGTTTGCTCCGATTTTTGGTATACACCTTATTTATTCCCTTTTGGGAGACACAGTGGCCCAAGAGACTAACTTCGTGGTCGAATGCCACCTCCGGTGCTTAACAGCCCATTTTTGGGGCCTCGGGCTCGTTTCGGTCCCCGAACCTCCGTTTTGCATCCGTTTTGGTTCATTTTTGGTGGAGACCTTATTTTCATAGTTAGGAAGCTTGTAGGAGGGTGGGAGGCCAGCAATTGTTCTGAAAAGCCAACTTTATTTCTTCATCGCTCTTCGACGCCCGTTTTCCTCACTTGAAAGCCAATGTTGACCACCCCGGGGCCACTTTCTTGAACCCTAAACCCCATATTTGTGTTGTACACACCTGGGAGGCCACCAATATTTGGTGGCCGACCAGTAATTGTGCCTGACCCTTTTGAACCCCTTTAAAAAATGGATTTTTCTCTCTCCTGGTTCACATTCTCAGGGTTTCAACCACATAGTTGTGTTATGCAGACATGGAAGGCCACCAATATGGGGTGGCCGACCAGCAATTGTCATTAACCCTTTTGACCCTTGGTCGGCCGGCCATGGGAGGCGACCGGCCGGCCATGGGAGGCGACCGGCCGGCCCCCTGAACCCTCAAAACCTGGCCGGCCATGACCCCCTCACCTGGTTCTTTACAGATATGCCCTCTTTTTCCCCCCAGATCCTGTATCCGAGGGGGGCTCTTTTGGGAGGAAAATTTGAATTTCATTTTCCCCCCATTTTCCCTTGGACTCTCCTCTATATAACCAGCCCCTCCCCTTTATTTTTGAGGGTTATAAAAATTGGTTTGGAGCTCTTGCATTAAATCTCCCTCTCTCTCTCTATTCCAACCCTCAAAACACCTTGGTTCTTGGCCATTTCTACACCAATCCATAGCACCACCCCTCCACCTCCATTCCAGAAACTTGAAGGCCATCTCTAGAGGCTAGGAGCATCATTTCTTGGACCAAAAGCTGTTGAAGACCTAGGCTACAAGGGTGAGTCCCTTTTTCCCTCTTTCTTGCCTTGTTTTGCATGCTATCTAAGCCATACTTGCTAACTTTTTTGGGCTCCGACCCAAACTGTAAATAGTCATATTTTGAGCCCCTTTTCATGTTTGATCAAGGACCTCCTGCTGTTTGAGGTCTCCTACTACCACTTGCCTCTTTATCTCTCTTTTAGGCCAATTTTTGCATAGTATTTTAGGCTTATTTGTGAGTTGTTTTGGACTTGGTCATAAACTGTAAAATAACTTTTTTTGAGCCTCTCTTCAACATTGTTGAAGGGCTCTCCTCTGTTTGAGGTCTCCTACTATCACTTGCCTCTTTAACTCTCTTTTAGGCCAATTTTTGCATAGTATTTTAGGATTATTTGTGAGCTGTTTTGGACTTTTCCATAAACTGTAAAATAACTTGTTTTGAACCCCTGTTCAACATTGTTGAAGGGCTCTCCTCTGTTTGGGAACAGCAGCTGCCACTTGTCCATTTACCCCTCTTTTAGGCCGTTTCTTGCATGATAGTTTGGCCTTATTTGTGATTATTTTCGTGGATTGATGTAAATTGTAAAGTGTCTTTTTTTGAGCCCCTATTAAACTTTGTTGAAGGGATCTTTGCCATTTGGGGCCTGCTGCTGTCCTTTTGTGTTTAATCTCTCTTTTAGGGCCATTTTTGCATGATAGATTAGCCCTATTTGTGTTCATTTTTGAGACTTGTTATAAACTGGAAATATGCATGTTTTGGGACTATCTTGAATCTGTCTTCATGCATCATGATCAAATAATGCATGCTTTATATAGCTGTAAGTCATTCCATGTGCCTAGTTTCGAGTTTCAGGTTCATTCCATTGGCATCGGGTGCCAGTGCTTCCATGTTTTCGGAGCTTCTTGTATCATATTTCAGTGCTGGACATTACATGGCTTATGCGTCAATGCAGCCTGTGCCATGCCTTGTTTCAGAGAGGTTCACATTTCGGCCTTAGGTCTCGGATCCTCGGTTTTCGTGCATGCGTCACGCATTCGAGGTCTCATTTCATCGCATGGCTCCTGATTGTTAGTTGTGGCTGAGGTCCACTCATGTTGGTGTAAGTCCATCTGCATTGTGTATGTCCATTTCATTCATTAGCATTGCGTATGCTAGGTTGTATGGTTTAGCAGGCATTGTGTATGCCTGTTTTATTCTCGGTGCACGTGTATGCCATCTCATAGCATTGCATGCTAGGTGATATATAGTTGCATTCATGCATAGTCATGCATATTGCCATTGTGCTTGGATACGGAGTTAGCCGAGCACGGGAAACGAGGGACGTTCTACTACAGGACAGGAACGGTCTCAATTCCAAGGTCACCGACACTCCGATTATTCCATGATAGAGTTTAGTCTTGTGTGTTTATAATGGTGATTCATTCTCATATTTGAATTGACAATTCGAGCCTGCGGCCATCAGTTGCATCGATATGCGTGATTTGGTTGGCACGAAAATCAGACTACACTCCCCGAAGAGTTAGGGCATACATATGTGAAAATACTTTGTCATCCCCCCCTTTGTTGCTCTCTGTTGCAGCAAATCATGGAAAGTCGACAAGCCTTTCGGGGCTTGGCACGCATTCCAAGAACAATTGCACAACAGAGGCAAACGGGGCATCACAAGGATTCGACAAAGGCAACCGGAGCAGCCATCATTCACATCCGGAGCAGAGATTTGAGGCAGTCCTGGCTTGCATGCCAATTTTATTGCTTTCCTAATTTAATTTGTAATTAATTAGGGTTTTGTACAGTACTTGAACTGTAAATATCATTTGGGACTGT